CTTTAATAATTATTATACTACTTATACAAGCAAAAACCTTTCCCTTTTGATATCAAGATATCAATGATCTAAAAAAATGTGTTTCTGTCAAAACAAGGGCACTTTCTACTGTTACACCACGTAACTTCTTTCCTTCGAAGGATGCAATGAAGCAAAATTGGAAATATTATGAAAACTTTGAAAATACCCCATTGTCTTGAAATAAAGTACACAGACAAGTTTAAAAATCCGTTTCAAATTCGCAGTCTTGAGTCGGGCCACATCAGTCGCTGATATATATTTTGGCGAAAAGCCTGTGAACGGTTTAAGATAGAGTTTTAATATCAAACTGATACAAAACAATATAGAGATTTTTAAAAATGTTTTCGTTGTTAGGTGCATCCACTTAAGGTATTTCCAATTAAAAGTCGACGTGGATTTTTTGCAGTACGAGTATAACATAACTCTCTACACCACAAAATGAGATAGCAAATATTTCAGTTTTAATCATAATAAGGTATCACGCGATTACCGCATTATCATCCAAACTAAAGTCTCTATTAGAGAGAAGCTTAGGTAAAACATGAGAAATAATAAAATGTACAGGTGTCCCTTTGTTTTCATAAAAGCTTGCAACACATTGTCTGTGGGAAAAATTGAACGCTTATATAAACATATCCAACTCTAAGCTGAAGGCGCAGGACACGTTCGATAAAAAAAAAAACTCTTGTGACTGCATAATTCAAAATTACGCAAAAACTACTAATATTCTGAAAAAATGTTAATATGATAAGTAATAAAATATGATAAAGAAGGGTATATATTTAGAAATAGATTGCATTAAGAAATAAATATTCAACGTCATAGGTGTCGGAAACGCTTAAAAATGAAGTTATGCTTATGAATGACTTACGCCGTATTTGACGCCGTTACCGTATTTTTTTGGGAATGTGTAATTTTTTTTACGGCCGCACCTTCGGCCGACACGCTTGAGGTATACACGCGGCTGTCGTTTCTAGACAACGCGTGTTCACATTAACTAGTGGATATCGGCGAAAGGGCATTTAAAGTATTTTTTCTTAAAAAATTTGAATACTCACATTATTAATCACAAATTAAAGAAATTATACTATATTTAGGAATATAAGAGTGACGATAATTGCCATATTGGGGGAAATGAATACAATAACAAAATCAAAATACATGTATTCTTAACATTATTATGGAAAGGAAACTACTTACTTAATTCAGTTGCTTTTAAAAATGAATGCTGGAAATGAAGTAATAAATTAATTTTCAAAATAATTTTATAGATGATTGGTGGAAAACAGTATTGGTAACTTTTACACAACTTGTTATTCAGGTATCTTTATATAGACAAAGGAGTTATAAATTTTATTCTAAAATAATTTTTAATTTTTAAAGTTTTAGTAATGAATAATTTTGCTCTTTATGACAGACAGACACACACACACACACACAAATACTCATACACATACACAAACGCAACTCAGTCATTCGATTTTATTGAGCTTACCGCGGTGGCATACACGTGAGGGTAATTTGAATGTTCTGAACCTGCGCCAAGTGGTGGTGTAAACGTTGCCAACTTACTTTGACTTTGACATTGGGCGTACGTTGTTCCGAAGCGTACCGCTTCTTTAAGTATGAAAAAAAGGCCACATCACCCCTACCAAAGCAAATGTATAAATCAAGCAAAAGGATTTCTCTTTTATGTTAGGATCTATTAACATTTGAAAACAGCAATGACCACAGGAATTTTTAAACAAGATATGAGATTTTTGCCTGTCATTTTCTTGTGAGATAATCGCTAATTGTGGTCGTAACGCAGTTTAGTAACGCGAAAGTAAATTACAAATTTATTGTCTCGCGCGTTCTCAGTCTCGAGAGCCTGTACGTGCTTTGCAGGCCTTTCCTTATTCGCATTCTTAGCATTCCAATGCTCGCAGCTAAGGTTAGTGGTCAGGCGCCTTCAAACCGGACTTGCCTTCTGACATCATCTCCGAACTCACGAAATTGAGGTTTTTGCCTTCGGCCGGAGGCTCTCAAGTGGACCAGGTGGATCACTTTTGCCTTGAACTTTAAGGTCACCAAAACATACGTTCGCCGCGTATGATACATATACTGTTTCCGCTACCAATCCCTAAGATATGGTTTTGTTGTTATATTTCTACTCCACTACTGCATCGAGAATGTTCTTTTATTCCTTTTCTGTAAGAGAGGCGTCGGAGCGCTTAGCCGCGTAGAGGTTGGCCAACTTTCCATTCTGCGCGTGCAGGCACATTTCATATTACCTAAAAAATCTTTTTGTTTAATATCAATTTTGGAAACGTATGTTACCGGCAAGCTCACAGCCAGCATTGCCGTTGACTTGGCAGTCGCTGTTACAAGGGGAGGGATAGGGTTCCTGAACCCACCAATGGTGGTGGATATTCACCACTATCTCCACAGCTAGGTCGAATCCAGCCATTGCTTCGAGAAGAATGTTAGGGGCCAGCTGTTCTGATCGGTAGTGTTCCGTGTTTTGTTTTCCCGATCAATACCTCGCGAATGCCTAACAAACAGGCAACGGACCGCGAGGGAACGCTTTTTCCTCTTCCTTGTCCTATCCTCTCCGCACACGTGCACGTCCACTTACAGGCAAGGCACTACCACACACGCCGGAGACCAGTCGGGAGCTTGGAGCGTGTTCCGTCTGGGGCGGTGGGTGGAACCCAAAGGGGGAACCCCCGAAAGCCGCCATGTAGGTCGGCGCAGATCTCTCCATCCGGAGGAGGAAGCAGCGCCGGCGCTGGGCACGGGTGATCGCACGGGGCCCCGCACGGCAACGTCAAAGGATGATGGGACTGAAGCGGAAAAATTAGCCACAAATTGAAACAGAAGTTAGGACTCGAGAAAATCGCCAGAGTAATTTTATAAGTCGCGGGACAGTAGTCTGATATTTCATACAATTTTCAATTAATTTTTGTACTTTAAATAGTTATTATCATTACTTGCAAGGAAGAACTCTATGAAATGAAGTAAATGACGCTAACATAAAAATAGGTTCTACTGAAATTCAAATTTATTATTTCATATGATTGATATTGTATTATTTGATTACTAAACACTTTTACTTAAAAATATTGTTTAAAATATATTAACATTTTTTCTAGCTTAAACGTAATTTTTTTTGTTTATTGAAATAAAATAACTCGCATAGTTTCTTGACACAACTTTCACATTTTGAATTGGGCGGGTGTTTCACAATTGTCCCGCTCCCAAAACTGTCTAGCTCAGGCACTGGAGGGGGGAACAGTGTGACCTCCATTCACAACGGCATAGTAGTTGGGGGCATGGGCCATAGCAGTTAACGTACGCGGAAACGTCAAACAAACAATCGAAACGTACATTGAAACAAACTAAACCTAATTTACACGTGTTCACATCTAAAGTACACACTACTCAACTCAACAATTTGATTTCTAAAAAAAAAAAAAATAATTTCCCGCCGCCTAAAAATCGTGGAAAATATTTGATATTTGAAATGAATTCACGATGCGCAAGGCGATTTAATATCCTAAAGATTTGTGTGATGACTGTTTCTCAAAAGCAATGCCAACGGAGCGCTAACAGCAGAAGGTCGACATTCCGGGCGTGAAGGCACGGTACATTTTACACGAATATCTTTCCGTTTGTACGAGTAATCCAGCCAGTTTCCACATTCTTACCAGCAATTATCCCGCCGGGACGCTTGTCCGCGAAAATGGCGGCGGCGGCTGGCCGACATCTGTGCGTGTTGGCAAATTACACTTTTATGATTATCTTTATTTACTATGAAAATTCGAAACGAATATTGACGGTACTTAATTTACATGTTTTCACATCTAAAGTACACAACACAACAATTTAATTTCTAAAAAAAAAATGTTTTTGCAGCCCTCCATAAAAATGTGAAAAATAATTGATGTTTGAAATTAGCTCAAAATACTCAACTAGCAATTGAATTACGAAAGAATTGTGTTTGGATATAACTTCTCAACGGCAATGTCAAAGAAGCACTAATCACAGAATATGATTGCCCACTCGACCTTTCAGGCGTGAAGTCACGTTACATTTTCAAAGATCTTTTAGGTTTCCAGGAGTAATCCTGTCAGTTTTCACCTTCTGCCATGAGCCCTTACCGGAGGACAGGCTCGTAGACAATCAGCGCGTCCGGGCACATTATATTTTTCATTACTATACGACTCCGTATTTTCTGTTTATTATAAAAATTTGAAACGTACATCGACGGCCCTTAAGTAATACGTTTCCACAGCTTAAGTATACAGCTCAACAATTTAATTTTAAAAAATGTGAAAATGTGAAAACAAGTTGATGTTTGTAATGAGTTCAGGATACACAAACAGTCAATTTGATGTATAAAGGAATCGTGTTTGACAATCATTTCTTTCTAATTGTGTTCAAGAATTTTGTTTCTCCTCAGCAATGTCAACGAAGCGCTTACCGCAGGTGTTTGCCCACTCGACCTTCCGGGCGTGAAGTCACTTACGTTAGACAGGAATATCTTTCCGTTTCCACGAGTCAGTTTTCACCTTCTGACCCACCAACGTCCCGTCGGAGCGCTTACCGGAGTAGAGATTGGTCGACTGCCGGTCCACTTACTGCACGTGGAGACACGTTGCATTTTTCTTTAATATCTTTTTGTTTACTATGAAAATTCGAAACGAACATTAACGGCACTTTTTTCGCATTTCACATCTAAAGTCAACATTTAGTTGCTAAAAAATTTTTTTCCCCCACCCCCCTAAAGTTGTGAAAAAAGTTGAAATTTGAAACGAGTTCAAGATACACAAGCGTTTTAACATCCAATCCAGAATCGTGTTTGGATTTTGTCAACGGCCATGTCGGCGGAGCGATTATCGCAGAAGGTCGACCTTCCATGCGTGAAGTCAGTTACATTTTACACGAATATCTGTCCATTTCCAGTAATCCAGTCACCGTCCCGCCGGCGCGCTTACCGGAGTAGAGGTTGGCCGGGTGGCGGTCGGCCTTCTGCGCGTGCAGGCGCGCCAACAGCGCCAGCAGGGTGAGCAGCATGGCGGAGCGCGCAACTGTCTGCATGGCGTCGTAGGTCGCACTGACCGGCCTGGCCTGGCCGGCGGCGCGCGGCGCGGCGCGGTGCGGTGCGTGGCGAGGAGAGGAGAGGCTCCGAAGAGGCGCTGGCGGCGAGCGTCGCCGTTTCCTGGACGCCCCAGCCCCGCGTCGCTCGCGGCGTCTGCTCTGCCCCGGCCCGCCCCGGCGCGGCCACGACGCACTGTGGGTCGGAGCGGATGGAAGTGGACCAAAAAATGTTTTGTCTGCTGGGATTGGCTTGAGTGGAACTTTACTCTGGGGGACGGATTGGCTGGATGTAGACCAAAAAAGTTTTGTCTACTTGGATTGATTTAATTATAACTTGACTCTGTGGAATGGATTGGCTGGAAGCAGGCCAAAAAGGTTTTGTCTACTTGGATTGGCTTAAATGGAACTTCACCCTGTGGGTAGGATGGGATGGAAGTGGACCAAAAAAATGTTTAATCTACTTGAATAATCGGTTAATCTTGGGTTTCTGGTACCCCTTAATCATGACCTCTTTTGTTACTGCCATGGCTTCCTTTACTACAGTGTCTTTCGTTTATCGCTGAATCTTGTGCGGTGAAGTATTTAAACAAATTAATCATAATTTACGCAATACATTTAAAACCTCGTTTTACAAAAATTCTACTACTTTAAAAGTATTATTACTATTATATTACCACTGTTAATAATATATTTGGCACTGCCGTCCTCAAACTCCTGTTACCCCGCCATTTACACAATTCTGAAAATGAAATACTGATGTCAAACTTTACGAAACTGAGATTATAAGGGTTCGAAAAAGTTATTTTAAACCAAGTGTTCTAATAATCCACGGCCCATCATGAACCACAATAATCAGTTTCTTAATGTAAAAAACATTACAACTAACATTATATTTTTACTACCCTTAGAGCCAATATTCACTACTCAAGATCTCATATTAACTAAACAATTTGTCATCTTTCGCTGTATGAATAGACAGATTTAAACGAAAATTATATTTTATTGAAATATTTACGAAATGGATAAGAAGTTGCATGATATCACACGTTGGCCTAACGGACTCTTTCGTTAAACATTATTCTTCATTCTCGTATTGTATTAAGCTGTCTTACAATGATTTTCTAGTTTCCAGTGTCTGTTTCGCAGCGTTCGCCGTTTCCAGCATCCAAACCACTAGTTCGTTAGGTTCCGTACATCCACTTCTTCCAAGTGTCTGGAGGTCATCACTCGCAGACAGCTTATCTCCAAGTTTTTCTCAGTCTTCCTCTTTTTCTTCTTTCTGCGCCCGTCCAGGCCACATTGTCAGCGGGCATCGCACCTCTTCTATTCTTATTAGGTGCGCATATCACATCAGTGTCTTGTGTTCTATAATTATATCGCTGCTTATATTCATTTTCTTTTCTATTTCTTCATTTGGAGATCCTGCAACGTCTCTGAAGAGCATTCATTCCTAAAGATTAAAACTTTTAACTTGACATTATTTACTTCACATGTCTTGCTACCGTACGCGACAATTTTTTCTACAATTCAATTCTGCCTTGCTTCATAAATCCTCTTTTTTTACTATTCTTATTACTTTTGCTCACTATTTACCATGTAGTTCCTTGGCAGACATTCGTCCTTGATGTACGATTTTCAACAGCTCTTTTCTACTTGGCCTTCGCATTAAAAATATCCCCAAGGAATTTAAAATCATGGCATGCTCTTATCATGTCTCATTCAATAATCAAATCCCGTACATCCGACACAATGGGCAAGTATTGTGTGTTGTCAACATTGATCACAATTCGCCACAGCTCGTACTCTTCCTTCATTTTCCTTATCATATAGCTGGTAACTTCCTTGTTTGCAGCAATGGTAACGTGATCTAAGCAAACATTAATGTATGCAGGTAAGATTCATTTATATTTACTCTCATATATTTACATTTTATTGTCCATTGTTTTAAGGTCATGAACGTATATTTTGAACAGAGTTGATGATTGGCAGTAACACGTAACAGTCCTTTCGTTGTAAATATCACTGTGTCATCTGCACACCCGTAAATAATTAGTACGTGCTCTGTATGAGTGGTAAGAGAAAACAAATACAATTTGATTAATTTAAAGTAATTTACATGATTTTAATTGAATTGAATGCAACCATTCATCTTCATAAGTCAACTTATTCCTTCTCATTTGTGAAGTGTCAGGTCTGTCCTCAAAGAGTGAGCAAGGCTTCTTCAGTAACTGTAGTTAAATATTCGCGGCGACCTCGTAACACGATTTGCCAGTGTCGAACAAAATCAGCTTTGCAGGGCATCTTCCAGTCCGCTCTGATGGCATCGAGGCGATGAGTTTCGGATGAACTGAGACACCCAAGGGTAGACGCTGTTCGTTATCGAACTTTTATATTAACCTACCTCTCCTTCTCAAAGAGGTAATTGCCGGGGAGAGAGAAAGTGTTGCTACGTTTTTGTAAGTAGGAGGTTAAGTTCTAAGGCATCACTTCAAGAATCAAATGTGCAAGTTTGGTAGAATAAATAAATGTTAAAAAAGTTTTTCAAACATACTCTTTTCTTGATAGAAGCCTCGCACACAACCATGTGAGATTTGAGTCTAGCTCCCTGACATTCGAGAATTGACCAGTTTTGAAAAAATAAAATAATTTTGCCAACTTTCTACATTTTTGAAACGACTGTGCGATATAATTGAAAGGGAAAGCTGGAATTAAGTAAACGGGACAGATCTGTAAATTAAATTTCGCTCACTATTTTTGTCTTCCCATTTAGAATTATTATTGAACTGTACAAAATTATTGATTCTTTTATTAGTTTTCAAGTCACTTAGGCAAATTACAAACATATTTTGTCTGGTCTGTAAATCATTGAAACCTCGCGCGAGTCCTTTAAACGAGATGTTTAAATCACAGGTAAATTGGCAAGTTGTGCACAAGGCTTATTTCTATTATGAAGCACTGTTTATATAAAATATTTTTCAATGGACTTCTTCGAGTTTTAAATTATTTTTCACGACCTATATTTTTTTATTTATGAATTTATTATATAATGCATATTTATGAATTATTTATAAGTAGCGCTCACTAAAATAAATTTTTAATCATTGAAACAGCTTTTTCATTATTATTTCATAAGTTCTGCAAGCATAATTAAGCGAATACGTAATGTGTAATAAACTGTGCACCGAAATCTCTCACCCAACGCACCGAACATACAGAGCTTTGCAAGTCAATATAAAGAGGATATTTCGCGCTCCTCTCCGATCAGGACGCCCTTCTTAGGCATTTGCACCCATTCCCTGTGCAGCTGCGCTGTTGACAGGTCCATAAATAAAAGTGTGAAACTATGAATGAAATGGAAAGATCTGAAAGGGAATAAAATAAAATTATTGTATTCAGTGTCATAAATGCAAACAAATGCTTGACTTTCCTGAACAATAAAAGAGCCAAATTGATTTCTTCGTAATCAGTTTTAGATGCCAGAAACATAACTTTTCATGTCTAATGATTTAATGACTGGTTTAATCATTTTTGTAACCAATGTTGTGCGGCACTTTTCATGTCTGCCTATTTTCATAATATTGTTTTATATTATAGGTGCCTAAATTATCACTTTGTGCATAAAATTCGGAGTCTAGTAATAATGTATATGAAAGTACGATTACTTTTCTTTTATTAGCATTTTTCATACTACACATGGACTTTTATATCCCATAGCATTATTTAACGTTTTAATTAATCAATCAACTTATTTATTTATTTTAATTTATTTATTTTAATTCATTTATTTTAATTAATTAATTAATTTATTTATTTAATTTATTTATTTATTTATTTATTTATTTATTTATTTATTTATTTATTTATTTATTTATTTTATTTATGTTGTTCTCCACATCTTAGACCTTAATAAACCTATGGCCTAGTGAGCAAATTTGAAAAATAAAATAAAGAAAAAGAAAAGAATTTGGTCTGCCTGTGGCGCCGCTCGGCCCACCGTCGGGCGCCTGCTTCCACGTCGCGCCGCGGGAGGTGAGTTGCGTGACGGGTTGCGCAAAGGGGACGCGTACGCACCGCTCTGCGGCCTTTTGCCTCTCGCGCCACATTGCGCCCGCTCAGTCCTTCGGGCTTCTTTCTCCTCCTTTTTTGTATCAATTTATTTCGCCCCTTCACCTTCTTCACATACTCCCTATTCTCTCCTTGTTTTCCTTCCTCGGCGTCAGTTTCTCCTCCTCGTTGGTTTTCTTCATTTTCGTCTTCAATTTTGTAACTCACCTTCTTATACATTTTCTCTTGCGTTTCTTTCTCCCCTATCTTCCTTCGCCTTTTCTTTATTTTATTCGTTTTTATCTCTTCACTTTCCCCCTCCTGTTCTTCTTTCCCCTTTTTTCTTTATTCTTCACAGTTTTTCTCCTCTTCTTCCTTTTCCACTTCTTATCCACTTCCACCTCCCTATATTCTTCGTGTTCATCTCCTAACGGGAAGTTAGTGACTGAGTAACGTTGACCTGAGACTATGTCGATCAATTATGAGGATAAATGATTTTAATGATAAGACACCACGCCATAATCGTACGGTAAAAGCATTAATATCTTCAGTGGGAACCGAAACCAGAACCGCAATGCAGAGTAGATGTTGTTGCGACACCTGCACTATTTAGATTCGTATAAATTATATGCCCAACATGCTCAACAGTTTATTACAGTGTATCCACAAGGTTTTTCATGGGTGAGAATGCTATTTTTAGTTTGTATTTCCCATAAATATTTTATAATTAATATTTTTTGTTGTTAGATTGAAATAAAAAAATGTGTTTTTATAATGGGACTACTTCTTGAAATGCAGTGACCCCTGACTCTTTGCAGGTGAACATTTCCAGGAAAGTAGTCTTGCAGAACAACTGAGCGCCTGTTTGGGTTTTCCAGTAGCCACACATTATTCCCGTACATCCAAGTAACCCGGAAGGAGTCGTATTAAGCCACAGCTCAGGTAAAACGCAATCACGCGTAAGTGATTTAATTTCATCATGCTCTGAAAAAATATTTCCATTTGCCAGTGTCCTGGGTGGACATTGCAACACCGGGCAGCGCACAGCCGCGATTATGACTCAACAACATCATCTAAACGCACATGTAACCAAAATCTCCTAGTGTTGTTTTAAATTATTGTCATTAAATTTGTTTTAATGATTGTTTTAATGATCCAATTTAAGTCAGGTAGTCCTTGTTTCTCTTCTCTCTGACGCACCCTCCCTCGCTGGGCCCCACCCTGCCTTACTTACTAGTATCATGGTTCCTACGGGCTACTATAAATCGAGGTTTTGATACATACACCCAGCAAACGTCTAGTAAAACTTCACCTTTAAATTATTCAAAGCCTAATTGCGTTAGTGGATTGCATTAAAATTCATTTAGTATGACATTTATGGAACTTTAGAAGTGTTTAATTCACTTTCGTGCATTTCTTTTCTGTTTTCCAAATGCGCCAAAAACTGAAAAAGTGCCAAGTTATATTTTGATTTAAGGGGTAGGAAATGGAAATGGGGGCAGTTTTTACTAAATCTCCAGTACATCTAAGTTTCGTCTGTTTTGAACGTCGTATGTACAAAATTTCATTTGAATCGAAATAAAAAGTAGATTCGAAAAAACAACGAACCTTCATCTATGTATTACAGGAAATCATTATTTGAAAATCATAAATTATGTGCAACAAAATTCTCTAGCTTACAGACAAACAAAAATTGTGAAAAATATTGAATGAGTTTCTATATCGTATTCTATTAGAACCACGAATATTATTCTAAAAAAGTCATTCCTATCTTGAAGTGCATTGGTTTACACCAATTTGCTTTCTTATTTGAGTCGCTCGAGTGTTAATAACTATATTTTTTAGTTTGATCGAAATCGAGATGATTGGCCTTTTATAAAGGAGAAGGAACAGCTCTCCCTATGTTACAAGTAAATTAAATAACTAGCAAATTATAAGGACTATATTCGCTCACATACTAAGTGTTTAAAGGTAAGAAAGAATTGATTGGAATTTCAGCTAATCTCAGCAATCAGCAAAAAATAATCAAAAGTTTCAATCAGTGCGCGCCTATTTTTCACTCATTAGTAAAATTTGTTTACTCCGTGAATGTGCACATTGCATTTTTCTGTAAAACAGACGTATTGATATTGTTGAAACATGTTTGCGAAACTTAACGTGCAGAAATACTCGTACACGAGAAAATAAGAAATTGAATAAGTGTGAAATAACATGGGAAGCATTTTGAAACAGTGCCAGAAAGTTTGCATTTCAAAGAAATTATGAAGTATTTGTTACGTACTTGAAATAAAGAGAAGCCAAACATACTGAATGAAAGGGAAGTAATTGAATTATAATAATCATTCATTTAATTAGTTATTGTTCTTTTTGTGTTTCTTGTTGTGTGTTTTTTTGTTTTTTATTGCTAATTAGATATTTTAGAATATAAACGACACATTTTAATTCAATTTTTGTCTACAAGGAATTAATCCACGAGGCTGTAATCTTATGATGTTTCGCAAAACACTGATGCAATAAAACTACAATACCTATTTTTTGTCTTATTTGTTATTTTAATAGTTTTATTTGATTTTATAAACATATTTATTCGAGAAATACCAATCATGCATTGAAATTTCTTATAAATCCACGAAGCTATCATGTTAATTATGATAATTAACTCGAACATCACCTCATGCCTAACTAGTTCTGTTTATAAACGCAGCATTCTACTACAAAATGTGAATTGCCGCACACCAGTATTTTCTCCCTATTTCAACGCATTTGTAACCTTGTGCGCGCTTTCGCGTTTTAAACGAGCAGCGCAGACTTTCATCCGACCGCGTGTCCGTCTTCCGAGACGCGCGTAGGCGGAGGGGAAAGGAGGGAGGGGGCGAGTGGGCGGTACCTGCTTCACCAAGGCCCAGTGCGCACGCACAATTCAAACTGTTTTCCTCCGGCGCTAAGAGCAGGGCGGGCGCTGATAAACTCAGACGTTCGGGCGACGTAAGCGCCTGCCGGGAAGTGGACGACGGAGAGAGGAGATGTGTTCAGAAATCGCACGCATGTCGTCCAGATCGCGGGGGTGGTTTAATAACGCAAAGAAAACTAAGCACGTGCTTAGAGTCATCGCCGGATAGGAGCCCAAAATAATTCTCAATGAAATGTTATTCATAAAAAAATATTAATATTTAAAGTAACAAAGGTTACAGTTTATTTTCACCTTCATTTTGATTCGTTCTTTTTAATTTGTGAATAATATGACCTCAATGATTTGGATATGTGCTGGTTTCCCAATTGATTGATTTAGTGCTAATGTAATTATTCCCGTAAGTGTAGTGTATGTTTTATTGCAGGAGGAGGTGGTGGTGGTGGTGACGATGATCATCCCTCGCTGGATAGCGAGTCCCGGCGCCTACCCCTGCACGGCAGTATGCGAGGTTTTCTCCAACTAGATATCGTCCATCCAGCGAGACACCGTTCCAGCCGGGACAATCTCTAACCTTCCAACTGACCTCCCCATGTGTGGTAGTGTTGTGTGATTTCCGTGAAGTTTGTTATAGTGAAGAGATATTGAAAATTTTGCAAAATATCTACGAAAAAAATATTAGTTTGGGCGTTAAGACTTTGTGAAAATGTCTGATTTGCAAGAACTATAAATCCCTAAAAAAGGTATTTAAAATCTTCATTTTTTAAAAATGTTTATTTACAATGACTGAGATTTATTTTATTTGCTTAGTGTATTTATTTTACAAAATATTTTGGAGGAAAATGCACTGGAAATCACGACGTTTAGGTTGACATCAAGGTTGTTTTAAGTTAGTCGTGGAGGCCAAAGGCTGGAGTTCCGTCATGAACGGGAACACGCGAAGCGAAGCGCCAACTGGACATGGTGAAATACATTTCTACATTTAGTTGCTTCCTGTTCGACATGGGTTTTTGAGTTTGAAGGATATGCCGTAGTGTATTGGAAAATTCGGATAATTGTAAAGTACCACACAAATTGACTGGTCTCCTGATTTGCCTTATCTATATTAATATTTTCCGATGTGCACAGAAATTGAAAAGAGGTAATACAACATCCGGCTAGGTGATGAGTGTCTATGGTTTCGTTACACACCCAGTAACGTGAGAAAATTACAAAAACCATCTGTATTTCTAATGTCGAAGATCGGAGATAGAAAACTATGTATCCTCCGTCCATGAGACGTCTCTTCGCCGTAGTTTAAGAGCATAATACTTCACATAGAATTGTAGTCATTGAACTACTTTGTAGAGGGACACTAATGATTGCTGGACATTGCGTTTATATGCACTCACTCGTCTTTGCATTTAAAGACATTCAGTCTACAAACTTTAAAAACCTGCTGATTACGAACAGAACCGTTTACGAGGCACTTTGGACTATATTCTCAGCTGCATGTGTATTCAAAGCAGCCTAGAACTTCACCCATGTTTTAACGGGACGGGTGTCGCTTATCCCGTTACAAAAAACATAGATACTTTTTCTTTCAATTGTTTAAACAATAAATTCGAGTAAATATTGAAATTTATACGTTTTCATTAAAAACCATAAATTCGCACTACAACTTCCATTAAATACCAACTGATACTGTTTTACTGCGTCCAATTGACGATTTTTCCGTGATGCTCGCTCACCCCTGCCCTCTGGGATCTTGTCATAGGCTCGCGGATCATGCCGCATGTGGGAAGGCAATCGGCAGGTCACTGGCACGCCCTTCGGCCAGAAGCTAAGATATCGTCGCTATATATTTCATTGATTGATTGTGAGTGATTTCGGGCACGTCAGCTTAGAGAATGAATATTCACGTAAATATAGTTCTTGTCTTTTCTCGTGACGTGGCGGTTGTCTTCCCCTGTTGGCCTGATCCGGTGCCGACCTACCGTCAGCTAGCGGGGTTTCCCCATCTCCTACCAGCAGGGCACTAATCTAGCCGGGACCAGCTAAAACTCCCGGCGGGTCTCCCGGCATGTGTGGTAGTGTAGTGCATGTTGGTGTAAGTGTGTGTGTATGTAGGGAGTGCGGAAAGGACAAGGAAGAGGGAGGAAAGATCGCCCGCGGTCTAAGGCCCGTTTGGTTGGGTACTGCTGCGGCATTCGCCTGGTGTTGATCGGAGAAACCACGGAAAAGTACCGATCGGAGTTGCCGGCCGCTAGAATTGTCCTCCAGACAGAGAATGAATTCGATCTACCTGACAAGCTAGTACCGAAAATTCTACCACCGTTGGGACTCGAACCTA